CACTTGCACCCTACCCCCCACCCACCCACCACGCTTTAGAGAAGAACCCGCGGGTGATTAGTCGAATGATGACTTTGCTACACCTCTTTTTCTTTTAATAAAGGGCTCCTTCTTTCCAATTAAACAGCTATTGTCCTTATCTCTCCTCCCTTTTTTGTGTGTGTATGCTACCCTCTTGTAACACGTCGGATCTATTCTGCGGCCCATATATGACCTTATTATGTTGCAAGTGCCGTAAAACTCTTACTAATTCTAAAGCTAAACGGTCTCTGAATTGGCTTCTTGATGAGAAAAGAGTTATAATGTAAAACAAGTTCGCGGCTTTATATCACAAATGCTTGAACTTGAATGATAATGCGCGTCGTATATCAAATCTGTGGAAACTGGTTACATGATTCCAGCTCGCACTATACGGTCATTATTACCTGACAAAAAGAATTTCATTTTACGACTTTTTTGCCACAGAAAAACACAAGAAAATTGATTTTAGACAAATGACATTTGGCTGGCGAGTTTCTTGAACTGAACTGTCAATTTAAAACTGGAACAAGTACCGGTATGTTTAGATGCATTTAAACGTGAGTGTGCATGACCGTTCAGCCGAAAAAAACGGCTCTATAGGTTGGCCCTGACCATTGACAGGCAGGGTCGAAGCCAGCATCCAGAAGAATCTAAATTGAGTCGATGGGGTCGTAAAACACTCTGTGTTTAAACGAAAATTTATTTGGAATTAAAGCTTACCTACTGCTAGGAGATGGCTTTGGTGGCCTAGTGGTTGGGTTACCGGACCCGTAATCGTGAGTTTTCGGGTACGGGTTCGGGGCTCGAGCCTCAGCCCGGTCCGATGTTGTGTCCTTGGGAAAGGCACTTTACACGAATTTCCCATTTTGGCTATGTCCTTTTGGAGATGACCGTTAAACTCGGAGGTCCCGCCTCATAAATAAACTAATAGTGTTGACAGGGGCGTTAAACCTATGTACCCTTTCACCATTTCAACTGCTACGACTACGACCGCAGTCAGCTGTGTGGAATACACAAGTCGCTTCCCTAGAATAAAGTTCTATCTACATGTGTCTGATCAGTAGATTCTACCTAGTTTTGAGAAATTTGACGTTAAAAATTGTAAGTTTCTCAACATGTCAAGCTTTTTCAAATGCATTTCTTTTAATATCTTGATAATGACTCCGGATAATCTTACGATTTTGATAGAGCTGATAGAACATTTGGTCTTTAATCTCATGGCCTTAGTAGTCTTGATAACTCAAAACGGCCAAACATGTCAGATATAACTCTTTGAGGTAACGAAGTGTGTATTGGGTGTGTGTGTTTCAGAGTTTGTACATTGTGTTTCAAGTAAGCGAGAGAAGGTGAATGAGTGTGTGTGTGTGTGTGTGTGTGTGTGTGTGTGTGTGT